TAAATATTTAAACCTGTGTTTGATCTGACCTAGCTTTTAATTTGCTTTATTTACTACTTTATATGCATGGTGTTTCCATTCCAAATCATCTGAAATATACACTATTAAACCCTTTTCCATGCTTGTGTAGACTAAAGCTGTATTATTCATTAAAACTTTGTGCTGGCTATTTCCTATTGTCATAACCCTACATTTTTGCTGGTTGAATTTCATCAACCACTCCTCCGACCATTCCATTAATAGGTCTATATCATGTTTAAGTTCAATAATACCATTGTCGTTTTTTATTGCTCAATGGAATTCCATGTCAACAGCAAATAGTTTACAGCTTGATTTTACTTTGTTGGAGATATCTTTAATATACACTACAAATAATAGTGGTCCTAGCATTGATCCTACACTCACAACCTCTTTCCATTCCAATTTATTATTTTCTGTCATCATGCTTTCAACTCTTTTCTTCAAAAATTCCTGGCACCAGTTATTTAGTTTTGATTTAAAACCAAGAGCATTCAATTTTAATCATATGCTTTGGCTTTGGCTATGTCTAGAAACAATAATAATAAAAGTCCCAGAACTTTTATTATCAAAAAATCCATGTTGGTTTTTATTGATTAATTTATTTTCTGCTAAATATTTCATCATTTAACCTTTATTATTTTTTCCATTAATTTACAAACTACAAATGTTAAAAATACAGGTCTATAGTTGCATGGGTTGAAGTTGTCAAAATTTTTAAACAGTAGGACAGTATTTTTACACAACCATAATTTCGGAAGTTTACCATTTTCAAATGATTTATTAAACAATAAAGATAATAGTTTGGCTAATGTAGATTTGCACTCTTTTAGAACTTTTGGATGAACTCTGCCCACTCCAATTGCTTTGTTAATGTCCAGTTTGTTTAAGTATTCTTCTTCAACAGGCACTAAAATCTGTATTTCTACAGATTTTTTGTGATTCTATATTTATGATTGGAGCAGATAAAGCTTGTGGTTCATTGAATACTGATGCAAAATACCCATTCAATGTATTTGCATTTACTTTTAAATCAGTTTTGATGCTACCATTTTTTAGTTGGATTGCTCTTATATTGTCTTTGACTTTACTTTTATTGTTAATATGAATAAACTTTCTTGGGTTAAACTCTATATTGAAACCATGATTATATTCAAAACCTTTAATTTTTTGATTCACTTTTTTTTTTAAACTTTGTTTAAGTCTTCGTATTTTGCAACTAAACGATTTTCTCTAAATTTCTGTCTTCGACATTTGAACCTAACTTTTCTTTTTTCTTTTGATAGCGCTTTTAATTCGTTAATCATCTAGAGAGGTTTTGTGTTGGTTTTAATGCTTCCCGGTGTAATGATTGGTATAAAGAGTTTACATCCTTCTTCATAAAGGATTAACCGTTTTTGTAACATTTGTTTATTTATAAACCTTTGAATTCATTGTCCCAGTTTAAGATTTTTAAGTAATTATTTAACTCATCAAATTTTCCTCGATTGAAATTAAATTTTTATTTTATAAGTACCCGACGGGCATTTGTTTTTAAAAGTTACGTTCTAAATGTATTTTAAATGTCTTTTAAACGTTTTTTGCGTTTAGAATGTTTAGAAGACGTTTAAAAGACATTTAAAATACATTCAGAACGTAACTTTTAAAAACAAATGCCCGTCGGGTACAATGTTGTCTATACACTCTTCATGACTGTAGTTAAATTTAATAATGTGATGAAAGTAGTAATACCTTCCAATGGTGGAAAGTGTACCAGTTTATAAACTCTATTTTTTTTCTCAGCTATAATCAAATCTAGTACATTCGTTTCATTCCCAATGCTATATTGAAACGTTGGTGCAATCACATTCTGATGCATGAAGCAATTGTTTATAGATTCTAAGAAAATTTTTGCTGGCGTATGAGTCAAACTAGTTAGTGTGCACTTAATTGCGTTAAAATTAAAATCCCCACAAATGTTCTGCCACTTGATTGCGTTGAAATTAAAATCCCTACAAATGAGAATTCTAGTATATTTATTTTATATATTCATCGAATCAGCATAGTTAATAGACTTTGTGATGTTGATAGAGTAACTTATGTTTCTAAATCCGGTTCTGTACATAGTGCGACATAATATTTTTTTACTACCTAATTCAATAACACACCCACTCTGTTCTATATTAGGGTCATTTAAATATTTTTCTGAAGGTTCATACGCTTTTAAATTGTTTTGTACATATATAAAAACTCCTTCACCTATACCAAAGCCTCTGTCTCTATTAAATAAGGTGTATCCATTGATATTAGTTATTGACTCATTGTTCCACCAAGTTTCACAAATCATAATTACATTAACTTTGTTAGAATTAATCACTTTAACTAGTTCGTCAAACTTATTGTTTACCTAAGTTGCGTTCATGTGTAAGCACGTTATTTCGCTGAGTTTTGTTATTAAACTTGATGGTACATTATTTTTTTTAATGCTTTTTGATTTCAATTTTCTGCAGCATTTCATTTCTAATAACAAATCGAAATGTCGAACTTTTATCTTCTTCTATTTTATTCAGCCTATTTCTTTCATTCTAATGTCGTTAAATTGAAAACTACTTTTTCATACACAGTTACATTAATTTAAAAATGCCATCTATATTTCCAGATATATATATATATATATATATATATATATATATATATATATATATATATATATATATATATATATATATATATATATATATATATATATATATATATATATATATATATATATATATATATATATATATATATATACATATATATATATATATATATATATATATATATATATATATATATACTTTTTAAAAGTGAAAAAAATTAAAGTTTTACCAAAGATATAAACCCAGCTAGCGTTCTAGAAGCAAGACCAGTTGAAACCTTTTGGGACGATTTAAAACGGCTATTGTACGAGAATAATTGGAGAGCTGAGAATTTGGAAGAGCTTGAAGCAAGAATTAGATATTGCTATTCAAAGATGAATAAAGAAATTTTCCTTACTCAAATAAAATATCTTTCAAAAAAACTTTATAATATTGCTAAATATGATATTTGAAATATTTATTTAAATATATTTATAAACTACATACATATATATATATATATATATATATATATATATATATATATATATATATATATATATATATATATATATATATATATATATATATATATATATATATATATATATATATATATATATATGTAACAGGTCATAAATAAAATTTAAAAATTAATATTTTAAGAACTAATAAGTTTTGTTATTTAATATTTCAAATGTTAATATGTTAGTATATGTAGTTTATAAATATATTTAAATAAATATTTCAAATATCATATTTAGCAATATTATAAAGTTTTTTTGAAAGATATTTTATTTGAGTAAGGAAAATTTCTTTATTCATCTTTGAATAGCAATATCTAATTCTTGCTTCAAGCTCTTCCAAATTCTCAGCTCTCCAATTATTCTCGTACAATAGCCGTTTTAAATCGTCCCAAAAGGTTTCAACTGGTCTTGCTTCTAGAACGCTAGCTGGGTTTATATCTTTGGTAAAACTTTAATTTTTTTCACTTTTAAAAAGTCGATGACCGACTTTGCATGATGTGATCGAGCTAGATCAGGCCAGAAGCTAAACACATTGTCTTTTTTATAAAATTCTGATACTAGAGGAAGTAAAGTTTTTTCTAGTATCTCTTTATAAGTGTACTGATTGATCGCATGCTCACTGTGATGAATTTAAAGAAGGCTTAGTTTACGAGGGCTGATGCAACAAGAAACTAAGAGCTTGTCCTCGTATTTTTAACGCAAATTGTAAAAAATTCGAGGCAGCAATCTTTAAATGGAAATCTTTTAATGGCAGCAATCTTTAAAATATTTTTTTTAGTAGCTACCTTAGCTAATCAACCACATTCAACTTTTCTTTTTAGAGATCCATTCTCCAATTTTATGATTTTATCGTAAGCAGTTGATCTGGGTAAACCTCACCCCATAAACTGCTTAGCAACAAACGCTTTACCTTTTGCTCAATTTTTTTGGAAAAAAATTTCCATCATTTTTTCGAGATCTTTTACTTTGACTATTTTATTTTCAATACTTAAATAATATTTTGAATTTAATTAAATTAAATTTAAATAGATTATGAAATCCTCTTTCAAATGAGTATAAAGGTTTTTTGCCTGCATGAAACAAATTACATAATTAATGCAATTAAAATTTGTCCAAAATTTTATTTATAAGGTGTTATATATATATATATATATATATATATATATATATATATATATATATATATATATATATATATATATATATATATATATATATATATATATATATATATATATATATATATATATATATATATATATATATATATATATATATATATATATATATATATATATATATATATATATATATATATATATATATATATATATATATACATATATAAGCTTTTTGGTTTGCACATATCTTCAGGAGAGTGCTCGATGAATTAATGAAAATTAAAATAAGTTAAGATAGAGCTGTATTTATATATTTTAACTTTTTTTTTCTTTGTTTTTTCATCTATGTTTATATCTTATCCTTGTCCTCTTTGAGTTTGCATTGTTTATAAGGTTAATTTTTTATTTTAACCAGGTTATATAAGATTGAACTTTTCAGTCAATATTATATTATTTAAGTTATTTAATATTTGCTGGTAAATATATTGTTTTTGTTGTTGTAGTTGTGGTTGATGACTGTTATTTATACTTAATTTAAATGTTTATGACGGACTAATGAAAAAAGACTTCAATTATAGATTGTATTAAATTGAACATTTGCCGTAATATGTTTTTAATTTTCAAAGAAAATATTTATTGCTTAATACTTACGTAATTTATATAAATATTATATAAAACTTCTAAACATATTATTAATTTATAAACACTGTTTCAAAATGTATTTTTTTTAGATAAACTATTTTGTCAGTCTTGGTGGCTGTAATTGTAAAGATACGATTCGATGCATTTTTACAGCAGCTAATAATCAAGTTTGGCCGTTTTTCAGTTTCAACGGCCGAATAGGAAAACAGTTATTTGATAGGTTTTTGTTCTGCCAAGTAATTTTAAGAAAGTTTTTAAAAAGATTTTAATAAAACTTGTTTCAAATAAATTATTGACAAGTTACAAAGTACAAATAATAGTCATGTTTATATATAGATACACTACTTCTTTCGTTACAGAAGTTACACTTGTTTTGTTTAATACATATTTATGTTTAAATATTTAGTTATTTTAAAAGATATCACTAGTTATAAAGTATTAATTTATATTATATTTTCATGTAATAGTTACAATGAATCGTCAGGTATACAGATGGAAGTGAATGGCAGCAATATGCGGGAAGTTCACCTATTTTTTTTTTTTGTCAGCTGCTGCAGAAGCTATTGACCCACCATCTGCATTTGTAAGTTAGGTGAATCTAGCGCATATTTTATCAACTGATAGCATGCATATTGAAAATGGTTCGTAGAACTTACAATCCTTTAGTAAATTTTTCACATTAAGATTTCTCATTCTCTAAAAAAGTAGGTAGCTACTTTATAGACAACCACTTAATAAGAATTGTAATTTTTTGTTTGTATATAACTTATTTTTAAGATTCAATCATAATGTTTAAAAGTTTAACATATACTTTTTTTTAAATGTGATATATGAAATGCTTTTAAATACTTTTATTTTAAATAAAAGTATTTAAATAATTTATTTTAAATAAAAGTATTAATAATAATATTTGAAATGCTTTATAATTAATAAATAAGTATTAAAACATTTTAATTTATTTAATTAATAAATAAGTATTAAAACATTTTAAATACTATTATTAACTATTGTAAATATTTGATTTTAAACTAAAGGAAGAAGTTAGAGAGGTGTTAAAGCACGCTCCTAGTCGACCAGGTAGAGTTAACTAAGAGGTACATTAATTTTTTTTTTTTTTTGCTATCTGTAAAGTTTATTCTTAGATACCTCTAAGTAAATTTTTACTAGTAATGCATATTATAGTGTTAATCATTTAATCTTAATAATAAAAAAAAGTTGTTATATTTATTTAGACAAAATTTACAACAAATGTTCAAAATAAAGATGCGTTGCAGCAAAATTTTGAAGAAAGTTCTGACAGTACGAGCTAGCAAATGTTAAATGACCAGATTAAAAAAAAATGTATTTGTTTAGTGGCTAAATGTTTTTAATGTTGTTAAATGACAAAAAAATAATTCCTTAAAATTTCAAAGCATTATTCCTATGTTAGGTAACATCTTAATTAACTTAACATTAAAAAAAAAAGTTCTTTTAAAGTGGATCAACCTGGCATTCAAAATAACATAGCAAAATTGTTATATAAAATTTCAACAATAATATTTGTTTAAAAAGTATATATATATATGAATTAAGTTTTTATTTAAAACTTGTAAAAATGCACTTTTATTTATGGGCAAAAAACTATAGTTTTTATTTAATCTGGGCCGACGATACGGGTTTTGAAGTGGGGGATGGGGGGGGGAATCATCAATTTGTTAAAAAAATTTCCTCTATATCAAGATTTTCCTTAAAAAAAAGTCCTTTAAAAGTGGGGAAAGGAATGAAGGAGGGGGGGGGGGAAAGTGCCCCTCGTGTCTTCCCCGGTGTCGTCGGTCTTGTTAATTAAATCTAAAAGAATCATTGTATTATTAAATGATTATTTACATGAAATTTAATTTAAATTTTTCTAAAATTTTACTTCTTTAAAGATCCAACATTAGACTTTTGAATTTTTGTTCTTTTAAATATTGGGGACCCGTTAAAAAGTAAAGTTAATTATGCTGTCACTAAAGCACATTATTGTGAACTAATGTCAATCTTTGTGTATAGATAATTCATAAATAAAACTATTTTGTTTATCAAATCCACAAAAAGCATTTGTTTTTAATTAGGAACTGTTTATATTTAATATAAAATATGGCAAGGGATGGTATTTTACATACGACATGCATGTTTTTATGTTTTAAGTGGAATTAGCTGGACCTTTCCCCTAGAATAACATGTATTTATTTTTTATGTTGTTGATGCTGTTTTTGAAAATATTAAGTTTAAATTGATATTAATTGTTATTTATGCCCTATGGGGCGCTAACTAGTCCTAATAATTATTTTTTTCATTGCAAAAAGTGTTGTTTTTCTTAATTGTAATCAGCTTAGCTAATTGTGTGCCTTTGGTAAAAATGTATATTAAATTGTAAATGTAATAGTTAAATCGTATAAGCTTCATTTGGTGTAATGCTATAAAACATGGTGAATTTGTACTTATTAAGCAAAAGTAGGTTTGGTAAATTCAAAAAAGAATTGCATTACAAATACTAGCAAATGTAGGTTTAAACAGAAAGCATGTTTAAATCTATACGTCTCTGTTTGTAATAACACGTTTAAGGTGAACTTTATAGAGCTATCAAAGTAACGCTTCAAACTTACGTTCAATGTTTTTTGGTTGAACGTTCACAGCGAACGTTCAAGAATAATAAATTAAGGTTAACAAAAATTTGTTCAAATAACGTTTGCAGCGTACGTTATGCAAACCTAATCAAACATTTTAGTAACGTTTTTTGAACATTAATTATTAGCTGGGATAGTGCATTGTTAGAAAGTATTGGGAATATAATGACCACTTTTAGGGCAGTATTAGCCTCTATTGGGTCTTAAATGGCATATGTTGGGCTATGATTATCCAATCAAACAAATCTTGTCACAAGTTTGGAGCCATGATTCTGCCAGGCATTTGTCAATATTTGCCCACTAATGGCCAAATTTGCACACCATAATATTTGTCGAATAATGACAACCATTATTGGCCCAATATTGGCCCAAGTAAAGTGTGCTGGCCAGGTACTTTTTGTTTAATTTTGTTGTTGTTTTTAAAGGCATTTTTACAAAAGATTTTAAAAACGCCAATAAAGTTAATAATTTTCACAAACTATTTTTGTTTTGCTTTAAAATGATTTCAAAGACGTTTTTAATCATTAAAGTAAAAATGTAAAAATATAAAGTATTTAACTGATAAAATATAATAACTAATACAGTATTAGATATAATATATTGATATGATAACTTAAATATTATGTAGTATATTATATAGAAACTGAAAGATTTTAAAATTTATTTACTTTATTTTACTTTTTTTTTTTGAACATTATTTTAATACAATACTTTTTATTTGGGCACGGGCAGAAAAAGACGTCTTATACACGTTTTAGACGTCTTCTGAACTTCTTTTGAACAATCAAAAGACGTCTTTTTTTGGTCCGGTGCCCCCTGGGTAAGGTTAATGGAAGATAAAAGTAAAAAAAAGATACAAAAAATAATAATATAAGTTAACTAACATAATAAATGATAGTTATAAACAGATATAAAAAACTAATAAATTTACTCACTTCTTAATTCTAGCAGTAAGATTGATTAATAAACCACATGTCTCTGAAAAAAAAAGACACAATTTTACTCATTTTTTATTTTTATTGCAATTAGTTAAACATTTTCACTATCATTATATAATTTTAGCATTTGCTTCCTTAAAGCCATAATAGGTGTTACCAAAACTGATATTTAAAGTGTGACACAGTGTGAATTTGTGTCAAAACAGTAAGGATTCTTTTTTTTAATAATCAAATTTACTTCTACGTTTCAATTTTAAAAAACAGTTATAAATTTTAAACACTCATTTATAAGTATTTAATTTCTATTTTGTTTATTTACTCAATAATTTATATAAGTTTGGCAGTTTAAACATATTATTAAATATCTTTCAATTTCACTTTTAGGTGAAACTATTTGTTTTCATATAGCAGTTTTGATTATATGTCTATCACAAATTGATTTAGACGTCTGTCGCAAAAATAAGCAAAAAGTTGTTAAACTGCAGATATATTTTTATGTGTTCAAAAAAAAAAAACAATTAAGTTCATTGGACATTTAATGTAAAATTAATAAAAAAAAGGAAATCGACATTGACCACCTCATAATTTAATTTAAAATTTAGGAGTTATTTTTAATTTAATAAGAAAAACAAAGGTTTCAAATTTTAGCACAACTATGTCTCCACAAGAATTTTGCAATTTTTCTTAATACAAGCTATAGTGGTAATAACATGTTTAGTTCATACAAAGGTATAGTTTTAAATAGAAATTTCAGAAAACTTTTTTTTATATTATAGACAAACATAAACATAGTTTGGAAAAAAAATATTTAAATTAAATTATTTACCCAGCAGACACACAACGTCTGTGCTAACGTTGTAATCATGTTAAAATTGCGTTTAACGTTACTTAATGTTAATTTAACGTTGAATCAACGTAATCTTTTTAACGTAATACTCTTACGTTGAGCTAAAGTTGACACAACATTAAAAAAACATAGAAATATTAACCTAACATTCTAATGTTGAGCTAACATACGGACAACGTAAAAAAATAGAGAAATGTTTACGTCGTTCTGCTTACCATAAAAAAATCTGCCGTAAATAATAATTAATTTTTTTCTTAAAGATGGCGTATAAGAAAATAGAAAATAAGTTTAGATAAAACATAATTAGCTATGTTTGAAGGTTCGCATTGTCTTTTAAAAAACATTCGAAGAATTTTTTAAAAATATTTGAAAATAAACAGTGCGCAATTATTCAAAACTTTAAGTTGCTGATGAAAGACTTAATAAATGTTTGATTAAAAAGGTTAATTTTAGAAAAATAATTATATTATTGGTTCGCCTCTAAATTTTACCCGGCTTATTGAATAAATGATTAACAGCCAGTATTGTATTTTAGAAAAAATATTTTATAGCAGTGTTTACGTACAGTTCTTTACAGATTAACCATAAATACTGATATTGATACTTTTTGAATGTGTTCAAATTTTAATATTTTGAATTTTGATAATACAAGTATGATAAATAATGCTGAGATAATTACACAAAAAAATATTTCCATATTATCATTTATTTATTTATTTGAAAGCAACAGTATGACTTGAAGGCCACTAACGCTGAGTATACATTACCAATTTTTTTTACTGAAATGTTAAATTGCATCATGTGCTGGACAAGTTAGAACAAAATTGTATTAACTTGAACAAAGCGGTACAGCAAGACGTTTCTTAAACATCAAGACAGACAATGTAGTGATTATCAGTGATGGAGTTAAATATTTCTGTTAGGCTATTCATTATTATAAATTTTCTTCGTTTAATCTCATTTTAAGCTTTGAAGGGTTGTGCAACTATTTTATATTGCTTTAACAGAATAAAAAATGATTCCTAAGTTTAGATTTTTTAATAATAAGACGAAGTATTATGTTGAATATTTTACTTTAGATGCGAGGATATTACAAACGAATATCAAGTCGGTTAGAGCCTAATGCTCATGCAGTTAAAGCTGCTATGGCAACCCTTTGAATCTGATAATTATTCACTCTGAGCAATATAGCATAAAATTTTAAATGAAATTAACTGCGGAAAATGAATTTTAATAAACTGGTCACTTTGCTTACTATTCCACAAGCAACGTAAGTATATTATTAATTTGAAACCGGAACGTTAATTTTTCAAATTTCTTCACCAAGTATCTGCTTTGCATTAAGTGTTTAAAAAAATCAAATTGTAAAGTTAGTAAAATAAAATGTAATTTAAAATTTTCATTATAAAAAGCATAGAGAGTCTTCAACAAAAGCTCAAATAAATGATCATATTGCAAATATTGAAAAGGCCTCTCCATTGGTAAATAAATGTCAAACAATATGCATAGAGAATGCAAGCAGTTGTTAATCAGTTCTTTTTAAATATTTTTAGTATATACTATACCTGTAAGTTTCTTGTATATTTATAATTTTAGTATTAATTTGTATATTTATTTAGTTATGTTTTAGTTAACATAATCTATTTAACTTTATAATTTAACGTTAAACTAATGAACTGAAAAAAAAATACAACTGACATTATTTTGTAAACTAAAGTATAACATTAACATTTCGTTGTTAAAAAATCTGTAATACCTAATTTTTATTTTCCGATTTTATTTTAAGCTACATTTTATTTTAGTCTAAATAACCATAGCTAATAAAGGATACCAAATGCTCTTACTGTTTTTCCAAAAATTGTTTTCAGCTTATTTTCTGGCACAATTATGACTATTATTTATTACTATTTAATAAAACTTTTAACTTTAAGATTTTAATTATAATACAAACATATAACTGAATGATTTTATTTACGACAATTATATACAAACATTTAACTATATGATATTAATGAGCAAGCAAGTAAAAAACTTTCATAGAACAAATGTAAACTACATTTGTTCTATGTAAGTTTTTTACATTAATATCATATAGTTAAATGAGAGGATAAGAGTATTAACTCTTTAAAGTTTAGAAAATATAGGAGTATTAACTTTTCTAAATAAGTTTTATCCTGTTTTTTGTTATTAAAAATTAATATTCCTTCTTATTATTATTATTTTTTCATTGTAATTAGTTTTCATTATTACCTTGTTATTGTTAAAAATAATAAAAAATTAATAAACAAGAGAAAAATTAATACTTGAGAGAATGGTGCCAAAGAAATAGAGCCTTAAACAATGTACTTTTAAATAAAGAAATTGATTCACATCATATGTCAAATCTGTTATTAATAGATTTGAGAGTTGGATTGATTTCAAAAGCATTTAAATTGGGAACTGTAGTGACTTTTTTTTTGCCTCTTTTCATAAATATACCTCTAAAACTGAGAGTTCTAGAAGAATATTTATGTATGTTTGACAAAGTGACGCCATTTACTGTAGCATTATTTGTTAGTTATAACAAGTCAAATATGATTAATGATTTTTGGATATGAGTGATGATTTTTAATATGATTTTTTGCATAAGTATGAGTTATTATTTGCAAATAGTTTTTAGTATTATTCATATAACTTCAATTACTACTTGAGAAAAAGTGTTGCTAATGTGCCAATAAAAAGTCAGCAAGTGTAAGCGTAACCATTTTCAAAAAGATAGTGTCCCTTGAATAATTTTATGAACTTGAAACCTGATTAAAAGGCAACGGGGAGTTCATTAAATTGGTAATTTATATTGATAATTTCTATTTTAAAAGTTTTTCTGTTTAATAAAATGCTATTTAAGTCAACCGTTTTCTTGATGAGTCTATTTAAATTGCTCTCACATTTTACCACAATATGGTTTTAAAGGTAAATTCTTACTTATAAATCGAAAATTATCTTAATGACCTTAGTGCCATTTTCATTCTGTGGAGTTTTTTACAGTCTTGTAATTTTGTTAAATTGTTTTGTCTTTTATTTAATTTAGCAATTATTATTTTGTTGCTTTTATAGAAAAACTGTGAAAAACAACCAAATAAATCTAATCCTGTCTTATTCCAACATGAACTTTTCTCTAAACTTTTATATATGTTTTAGCTTTGTCACCTCATAAAAGCAAGAGGAAAAATGTTTGAGAAAATACAAAAAATGTTATGGTCAGGTATGTATTTTTGCTTTATTCTGAATAATCAAACTGTTTAAATTGTGAGTAAATATAATAGAAAAGTCTAGCCCAAGTAAAGTATTTTAGAAAAACAATCAATTTTAATATTAATATTTGGGGAGAACTTTACTGAATGGAATGCTGATTGAATGAGACAAAATCAAATTTGCTTACAAGCATCAAAGGTTAATTGGTAAAAAAACTCCTGTGGTAAGAAATATTAAACACAACAATTCAACAGACCAAATCATTATTCCTATCATAACCTAAACATGATGGGCCAAATATAACATTAAAATTGCTTCACTAATGGAAATTAATAGCACATTTCTCCTGGCAAAACAAAGAACTTTCAATGTATAAATTAGACAACTTTATCATTTTTTGAAAAGTCTTTTACAAAAACTTCATTTAGGTTCTTCCCTACAGGTTTCAGCTTTAATTCGATGTCGAAACTTTGAATATAAAACATTTATAAAAAAGTAAAGAACCTTTCAAATTTATACTTTGCAAATTATTACTCTTCTGTGTTTACAATTAAATAAATAAGTTTGCTGGATCGATAAATCTAGTATAATAAAATAGTTATTTTTCCTTTATTAATTTTCATTACGTTTTTATAGAATTATGGAGCATCATGTTAAGGGGGAAGTACCCAAAAAATGTTTAAAAAACTCAATTTACTGTTTAAAACTCATTTTTAAACAGTAAAATTGATTTTAAACAATATATAATGTCAAAAATTTATATTTCAGAATAAAATTTTTTAAAAGTTGTGCTTTGCTGCCATGGTAACCATGGTAACTTTCATACTGCAATTCCTTTTAACTAATACTCTTAACTGTGATCTGAACCTTAAATTTTATAAAAAATATGACAGTTAGTTTTTCAGGGGGCAAATATATTATCGTTTAATGAATTTCTGTCAAAATTAGGCAACTGAAATAGA